ACAGATGCCCCCTCCCCCCAATTCCCAGTAACCAGGCCAGACCACATCACAGTAATCTCGTGAAGTGGGTTCTTTAACGTCCCCTGCCTAACCAAATTAACTAATTAATAGATGCAGGAGACGGGACCTCCATTTATTCGTCCCTATCCGAGAAGACTAGAATATCTAACCATTTCTTGATCGATGTTATAGAAAGGTAGCATATTCTTCTCAATTATTTTAAGACCCTGAGTGTTGGTCCGGCCGGGGCTCGAACCCTCGACCTCCCGCACAACAGTCCGGCGCTTAACCAATTGAGCTAACCACGTCGCGACGATTTTCTCGGAATCGGTCACCTAATCTTCTGCCTGTTTCGCCGATGTAAATCTTTTCTGCACTTATTGCAAAATTCTGTTTTATTTGTATTGTTAATCTCGTTATTGACGTTGGGGCCTAGTTTTTTACGCGCGATTCTTTGATTATGTATTCCGCGACATTTCATTAGATGGATAGAACTTCGTTGTATTGTTGTTTCAGTTTACGATCAATAGATTGATTGATTGTGAGAATAATCGTTATTTTTATCGTTGATTGTGGTTCGTGGTCGATTGCCTTTCAAGAATAAAGATTTGTGCAAACAGTCAACTTTGGTTTGTCACTTCGATCTGTAAAATGGTCCCAAACACCTCGTTAACCGCATTTTGGAGCGACGCCCCCTTGAACTTGAGAATTTAGATTTTGGTGGCTGCAAATGCTACAATGCCCTCTCCGCAAAGACTGCATTAATTTTAATTTTACCATCAAAATTGATTTTGATCATACCAAACACAGTGCGAACGTTTAACCCATTCCAATTAAGCGATATAAGCTACATAATAAAGTCAACATTGAGCACATGTAACACGTAGCTCGTGTTCCTTATTTGACGAAATTAATTATGACTCATTCCACTTGGACTCATTCATTCGCAAAATCGCGTACTTGCTGAGTCTGAAGTCGATCGAAGACGGAACCTGGGAAAGAGGTTGAGTGAAGTGTGACTTTGAAAATCATGTGAAGTGAAGTGAAGTGTGACTTTGAAAAATACACAAAGTATCTAATTTCTCGGGGACTTAAATTTCATATGGATTAGCATACGCGTCGTCTCTTTTTCTTTCCAGATCCAACCCGCACTAAAGCTGCAATGGATTCTCCGAGGCTCTTTTGCTTGGCTTTTGGTGAGTGAACTAAAAATTTCGACATCTAATGACATTTCAAGGCAGAAATAACTCTTACAAGTCTCGTTGCATATTAGCACAAATAGTGAAAAGAGAATAATGTATTTTGTTGTTTACAGTGATTCTGTCCTTCGCCTTCCTTGGACGTTGCAGAGTATCAGAACATGTCAGGAACCGAAGGGTGAGTGACTCTACTTAACTGTATTTAATTTGCAATAAGAATGCAGCAATTAGCGACTTTCTCTGAGAAAGACAAGGTGAGTCTTTCAAGCCTGAAAAAAATTAACTTATGGGTGGCTACTCGCTGCGAAAATAGCCAAGCATGTATGGCGCGTTGAGTGTTTGATCGTATATTTTCAGTTTTTGATATATGTGTTTCACATGGACAGAAGAAACCTTCGCTCGTCAATAACTAAAAGTATTTTAGGCGGATCTTTTTTCTTCGCGTATAACTCCGCTCCCCTCACTTCTCAGCCATTCAGTGTTAGAACAATTATAGTGGCAATAATTTTCCGCTCGAGTGTTTTTTTTTTCCAGACGTTAAAAGTCTGATCAAAATGCAATCGAACTTCACTTAGATCTTTAGAGTCATATGTTGTAATATTTTCGAGCCTTGAGGCATTTTAACGGATTGAATCATGATGTGATTCGAGTGAATATTTGCGATAAACTTGAAATTTATGAATTGATTGCTCTCTCCATCAGAAATGTTTCAGTTTTCACACACATGCAGTGAAATCTTGAGTCCGTAACAAAGTCGTAATGTTATAAAGCAAACGAAGAAGACCCTGCAAGCCTTGTAGGACTCCCCCCAGCTGAAAACCCTTCTTTCTCCTCAGAGCCACGCACCTTGAACTTGAGAATTTAGATTTTGGTCGCCGCAAATGCTACAATACCCTCTCCGCAAAGACTGCATTCATTTTAATTTTACCGTCAAAATTGATTTTGATCATACCAAACACAGGCGAAGGTTTAACCCATTCCAATTAAGCGACATAAGCTACAAAATAAAGTTAACATTGAGCACATGTGACACGTAGCTTATGTTCCTTATTTGACGAGATTAATTGTGACTCATTTATTCGCAAAATCGCGTACCTGCTGAGTCTAAAGTCGATCGAAGACGGAACCTGGGAACGAGGCTCAATGAAGCGTGTCTTTGAAAAATACACAAAGTATCTAATTTCAAGGGAACTTAAGAGTCTGTCCACGAGAGGACCAGGCAGGCGTGACACATGCCATCTCACCGATTTCTCTCAAACTTTCACAGATGATTAAGATTATAAAGTTATTCAAGAGTCCAAAGTAGTTTGGGCTCCCAGTTAATCCTTGGGGTTCAAGGGCTTTCACATCAAATCCCAGGGATAAAACCACGAAATTAGCCCTAAAATTGCACTTCCAAGAAAGATCTCCCACACTGATAGAATGCTGTGGATTTTAATCTCATTTCATCCAACAAGTTTTTTAACCTAAAGCAATCGAAGGTCCAAAGTTAGATTGATTTGAAATCATCCTCGCCAATCGTGAGTATTTCATAATCAACCATGTCACGCGGCAACTTTAAGAGACCGAAAATTAGGCTTTTTTAATTGCATATATCTCCAATGGGCAACGTTACATGTCGATCAACATGTAATCACAGTAAAACCCAATCATGGTGCTATGTTTCTGACGAAAAAGATTTTTGGCCTCTGTGAAATATTTGTGATCAGATTCCTCCGAAGTGCGTGGGAGGCAAAGTTGATTTAAGCACTTTTTGACCACAAGCTACTGGTTAACGAGGCGAATTAAATCGTTTAATGGTATATGTGACGCCAAATGTTTTGTTTTTCGGCTCTAAAGATATTAAAAGATGTTTAGTTGCTTAGCTAAGGCGTTGAATTAATTGTACATTTCGTAGATATTGACCCAATTCACTGGTAGTTACTTAAGAAGATCTCCTAGCAAATCTAATGACACCGATTCGTGTTTATCGACAGCTGAAAGCAAAGTATGCCAACTATTTTTTTTTTATTTTTTTCTTTTCATACTTCTTAAATTTATCTTCAAACATGGAGCGCGCTTAAAGTAATTTCCTTACCTAAGAAAAAACAGCCGTCATGTAAATTTAGGTCACGCCGCACTGTGCAC